GAGCTCAAGGCAGGGCAGAGCCAAAGGGTCGTTCAGCTCGGTAGGCACAGGTGGTGTCACAGGCACCTGGTGAGGTCTGGTTCCTGTGAGTCTTGATCACTCAACTCAGAACCTATAGTGATAAGGCTCCTCTCAGCCTTTGCACCCAGGGACGTGTTCCTCACCAGCTGTCTGTGTGACTCTTCCCCCTTCCTCTCCGATTGCAACACAGCTCTGACAAAGCTCTGTCCCCCTCTTGTCCCTCTGGACGGATGTTGCTCCCCTAGATTGCCCGTGAGGCAGAGGCTGCCATCTACCACTTGCAGTTATTTGAGGAACTCCGCCGCCTGGCGCCCATTACCAGTGACCCCACAGAAGCCGCCGCCGTGGGCGCCGTGGAGGCCTCCTTCAAGTGCTGCAGTGGGGCCATAATCGTCCTCACCAAGTCTGGCAGGTAGGAGGTGGCGGCAGCTCCTGCAAGTGCCCTGCTCAGTGCTACCTTTCCCTGGGGGTCCTGGGAGCAGTGCATTGAACGATGCTCAGATAGCACTGAGCCAAGGTAAGACCCTGCTACCTGCCACCTGGCCCCTGCAAGGAAGGAGCTTCTTCAGCCCCCTGCCAGGGTCCAGGAATGAGCAGAGCCCATTTCCTGGGCCCAGAGGACTCCAGGCAACACTCGTAAGGTATAGGGGACCATTTGGATCCAAAGCAAGTTTACACCATCAAGGTGAATTAGAGACTTCATTGCGTAACTGCAGATAGACGGTTAATTACTTGATATTTAAAAGCTGGTCCTAAAATAGAAGACCACTAGCTTGGTATTTCAGTTTACTGTGTGCTCTTTAAAAGTTCATTTTGGAAAAACAGTGCTGTTCACTGACATGCTGTTTGGCTAGTGCATGTCTGTCTCTATCCTTGAACACTGAAGACATTTCTGGCCCAGGAAAGGTCACCGTGTTGTCATGCAGCCAAGCTGAGGCCTGTTTGGCCACTGACCTAGGACCCCTTCTTGGTCCTGGACGTTGTTATGATCCTTCGCTCCCCTAGTCTTGGGGTGTGCTTCTCGTCCCTGCCCATGGGCGGCTAGGGTTTCTTAGAGGACGAGCCAGACAGGCAGTCCCCATGTGCTGAGCGGCAGCTGGGGAGCTGCCGACAGATCTCAGATCTGTGCAGATTCCCTCGGCAGAGGGCTTAGGATAAACAGCCCCAACGATTGGGGCTGACCTTTATGAAAAGGTCCAACCTTCGCTATTTGACTATTTTTAGCTCCAGACTCCTGAGAGTTCACTCTTAGCCCGTCCTGACTTCAGCATTTACTTCCTTCTGAAAGTCTTGCATGGAGGCCAGGCTGTAAGCAGGGCATTCTCTGCTGTAACGTGGCTTAAGTTTCCTAGACACCTGTTGAGTGTCCTCATAGCCTGCCTTCTGGGGCCCAGTCCTTCCTCCATGCTCCTCCCCCACTCCTGAGACACATCTGTAACTGCAAGTACACAGAAAGCACCTGGCCCCAGGGCCTCAGAGGGACCCCTGCCTTCCAAAGGGACCTGTACAGGAAGAGCCTCGCACAGCAGCACTTCCAGCTCCTCGTCTTGCCCTCTGGGTAGCACCCAGATTTCTCAGACTCGCTTAGATACTTAAGTTTGACTCGATCTCAGGAAGTCAGTTGCTGGCACTGTTTCAGGGACCTGGGGGATGTGTGTGGTGGGGGGCGGGGACAGTGCCCACTAATAGGGAAGGTGGCTTGGGTTGTAGACTCCCAGGCTGGGGGGATGATAGGCTCTGTTCCTGTTCTCTGCAGATGTCAAGAGTCAGGTGCTTTTCACATGCTGCTTGGCTTGTAGGAGTTAACTGGCATCAAAAGAAGTGGGTGCTGGTGAGGCTGGGCCAGGGCTGCCTCCCTGTGCCAGCATGGAAAAGTTCGGTGGGGGCGTTCTGCCAGCTGTGGGCCATGTGAGGAAAGTGGTTGAGACTGGCCATGCCGGGGCCCTGTTCTGTGCGGAGGAGTGGAGGGCAAATGAATCACATAGCTATGAAGAAAAGTAATGTGCTGTGGGAGATACAGGACGGACTGCCCCAGCCATGGGAGGCAGTTCTGGTTCCCACAGAGGGGACCAGGGAGCAGATGCTGAAATGGCCAGAGAGCCTCAGGCTGGCATAGTATGTTGGATTAGAGGGTGAGCTGATGAAGCCCCTGAGGGGCTTCCTGGGAGGCTTCTGGGATATGTTTAAAGATCTCTTCTGCCTATCTTTATCCCATCGTAGGTCTGCTCACCAGGTGGCCAGGTACCGCCCCCGTGCGCCCATTATTGCTGTGACCCGTAATCACCAGACAGCTCGCCAGGCCCACCTGTACCGTGGCATCTTCCCCGTGGTGTGTAAGGACCCAGTGCAGGAGGCCTGGGCTGAAGATGTGGACCTCCGGGTGAACTTGGCCATGAATGTTGGTGCGTGGCTGCGAGACGGGGTGGGGCTGCTTGCGCACTGGGCTCTCTGGGATGCTATGGAAAGGGGAACACGCAGACCTTAGGGTGCAACAGCCCTGGCTGCTCTCACTGGGAATGTTCTCTTTGGTTCCTCCATCCCCTTCCTTGACCTCCTGGGCTGAGCCAGGAGGAAAGAGAGGACTTTGAATTGTGGAGCGGGTCAGCCCAGTTTGTCTCCTCACTCTTCCAGTCTAGGCCCCAAAGCCAAAGGAACCTGGATAATCAGGGTTGTTCGTTCTTTGGCATCTGCTTATCACTGAGGTTTTCAGTAAAATTGGTCAGAGCTCCTGCACTTGCATGGTTGGGTGGCACATAGATTATGAGGTGGACTTTGTCCCTACGTAAGTACAGGATGCCACGGGATGAGAGGAAGCAGCCAGCTTGACCTTAGGCAAGCCTCTCCACCCTCTAGAGTATAAAATGAATGATGTTCAAAGGTTCCTGCCAACTCTGCCATCTGAGTGATGAGGAAATCTCAGGACTGCCTTCATCCCCTTTGTCTGGGCTGTGAGGCTGGTGCCACCTGGTGGTGTAAAGAAGTAATGGCCCGCCCTGCTTGCTATCCCTGGCTATGGGGCAATGTCCCAGTTCTTCATGTAACGTTGACTCACCCACTTCCCTTCTCTTCTTCAGGCAAGGCCCGAGGCTTCTTCAAGAAGGGAGATGTGGTCATTGTGCTGACCGGGTGGCGTCCTGGCTCTGGCTTCACCAATACCATGCGTGTAGTGCCAGTGCCGTGATGAGCCCCAGAGCCCCTCCAATCCCTGCCCATCCCTTTCCCCCAACCCATCCATTAGGCCAGCAATGCTTGTAGTGCTCACTTAGGGTTGTAGTGTGGCACTGGTGGGCTGGGACACCAGGGAAGAAGATTAATGCCTCTGCAAAACGGCTACTTTTAAGACCCTGATCAGGTGAGGTAGCCCAGAGCCAGGCTGCCCATCTTATGACCCCACCCAAGCAAGAGAGGCAGGGGTGCAGGACTGGAGGCTTCAGAGCTAACATAGAGGGCAACGGCTTCTGCTTCTTTGTGCAGTCCGTCCAGTTCCTGTAGAAATATACATTGAGAACCCCCAAGCCTGGCCTGGGGTCAGGAGAGAGCCAGCTAGCGAGGGCAGTGGTTCCAGTTTCAGCAGACTCCGGCCCTCGCCTGTACTTGCTTCTCCAACTCTGGCAGCCTTCCCCACTCCCCGTATCTGTGCATTTCTGTTCCTGCACTCGACCGCTGTCACTGCACACAAACACTCCACTCTCCACCTCTATTTTCCCCGCCCCAGCCGCCTCCAGGCCTGTGTAGAGCCTACCTGTATGTCAATAAACAGCAGCTGAAGCACCTATTGCCTCTTTTCTGTTGAAGGGCGGGGTGATCCCTTCCCTCTGAATAGGGTGGAAATGGCAGGAGCCTCGAGGCTCCTGTTGGAGGCTCCGAGACAGCTCACGCCACCTCTTACCCTATCCATCTCCACAGCACAGAAGTGTAAGGAAGCAGCAGTTGACTCCTGCATGTGTTACCCCGTTCAGGTCTCTGGGGAGGCGTGCCTGCTGCGTAAAAGCTGCAGCTGGGGAAATTTTAATGGCTCATTAGAACCAAAGATGAGAGAACAGTGACAAGGGCCCTTTTTCCTGCTCTGGTGGGTAAACTGGGAGTGAAGTGGCCCTTGCCCTGCCCTCTTAGGCCATCATTCAGTAGAGTCCCCTGATGGGAGCTGTAGGATGAGACCTGGCTCCTGAGACCAGCTTCTGCTCTCAATTCCCGGAACAATTTCAGACCTGGGCTGTTTTTGCCCCTTCTGTTTGCCAGTGCCCTTCCTCCACGGTACAGCTGGGTCAAGGAGGTGGGAGATTTTTGAGAATGGAACTGAATCTGGCATGTACCTTCCCCCTCTCTTGACTGCTCCGAAAGACTAGGCCCTACTTGGTGGGGATAGAAGGGGCCCGCAGGCTAAATGAGTTGGGGGCGTCTGAGCATGATCCCATTCTCTAGCCCCAGTTCACTGTCACCCCACCAGCACCACCGAGCTCAGCCCTTCCGTTTGTACAATCTTCCCCACTCTTGACCTGGCCATCTTCAGTTTCCCCCAGGCTCCTTGAAAAGTGTTTTTGCCCGGGTGACACTGAAGTTTCCAATTCTGGGGAAAGTGCCTGACAGCATTCTAGCTCCCAGTTTATCCACTGTCACGTGCAACATGCCTCTGGTGTCCCCCACTCAGGCCCTCACTAATCTGATGTGGAGAGAAGTTGAAAGCTACCGTGGAGTTCAGTGTTGGGGGCCTTTGGAGGAGGGCTGGAATCTTGCTGCAGAGAGCACGGAGCTCCGAGACTGGGAAGGTTGAGGAAGAACATGGAGGCGACCCAAGGCCCTCACCGTGAGGGGCAGGAGGTGCAGACCCAAGAAGGAGTCGTAGGATCTGTGCGGCGCTTGAGTCTGGAGAGGGGAAGGACTGGCCAATGGGCAGGACCAGTCCCATGCAAGCAGCCAATGGGTGGGAGGAGGCGGGCGGAGGCGGGCGGGGGCGGGTCGGTGCGCGGTCTGGCAGCTAGGGCCTCCGGCTCTCACGGGAGGCTCCGCGACAATCGTTCTAAGCAGGGACCAGGCTGCCGAGGCCGGCAGGTAAGGGGCTGCAGTCCTCAAGCCGGGCTTGGGGCCCCAGAGGCTGCCTCGAGGGGTGGGGCAGGGCACCTTGCGTCTGGGTGCCTTCTGCCCGAAGGGCAGACACTTCCCGGCAGCCAGAATGCGGGCTCGGCAGCCAGAATGCGGGCTCCGCTCCAGAGCTGCGCCGCGCGGTCCTGGTGCCTCGAGAGCTGGGGGCTATTCGCACCGGGGCACATAGTCCCGGGTGTCTGCGCTCCACGAGAGGGGTCCGGACGTGGGGATGAGGGACCTCTGGGCAGCACCAGGGCGACGGAGGCCACCCTCTTTGGGACGCCTCCTTTAGTCCACCACCACCACCCTCTGCCAACATCGCTATTAATTCATACACGCATTCATTCGTTCGTTCATTCATTCACTCATTCCCCAGCCCCGTCGACCCCCACCCAGCCCCGACTGCTCCCCGCCGAAAGGCTGGCGCTTCCCTGCTGCCCCCTTGATGGGGGTGTCAGCCTGTCTGCACCACCCCCCCCCCCTTCCCGCCCCAACCAGGTCTGCAATTGTAGCACCCTGCGGATGCCCGGGAGGCAACGTGGAGCTGTCCTGGCATGACTGAGCCGCACCCGTGCGTCAGGCCTGTCCCGGTCGGGCGGGCTGGGGCCGGTCTCTCAGCCTAGAGATCTGATCCAAAGTCTCCCTGAGAGGAAGAAAAGTTCTTGCAGCTGGTGGAGGGGCAAGGGAGCAGGGGCAGGCTGCAGGTGGTCTTTCAGGTGACATTAAGAATTGTGGCCTCTGCCTCCTGAGGTCTTGGGACCTTGGGGTGTGGGATTATTTGGGGAAGACAGAACCAGTGGATGAGGCTGTGAGTTCCTGCCCTTGTTCAGGTCCCAGGTGCCACAGTCTGAGCTCAGGAGGGGTGCCTGGCACCCCTAGTCCTCTAGCACTGGGACCGGAGGCATGAATGTGAGTTCTGTGCCACCCCATGCAGGTATTTAGAGCTATGGGAGTGCTTCAGGGCTCCCTCTGTCCTGTCCTCAAAGAGGATGGTGGGGCCCTGTGCAGCTGCCCTGCCTTTTGCTGCCCCAGCCCCGTAATTGTTTAAAAGTGCCATCCTTTCCGAAATTGAGCTCCTAGAGAAAGAGAGTATCCTGACCATCTGTGATGTCTTTGCTCCATGTACACCTCCAGCTGGCTCTAGGGTTCGGCTTCGTCAGAGCAAATACTTCTGGAGTTGCAGGGAGAGGTAGATAGAGGGTGCTCCTCCCATTCTGCAGTGGCGGTGGGGGCCAGTATGCCCCCTCCACAGGGCTCTGATCACAGTTCAGTCCAGTCCATGCTGGCAGACACGCTCAGGTGTGAGGTGGCAGTTTGACCAGGCTAGTAAAGCAGTGAGCATCTCTGGAGCAAATGGGCGGTCTTGAGGGTGAAGCTGACAGAGCCTGGCACTGAGTTCCCAGGAAAGTTTCTGCTGGAGACAAATCAAAGCTCTCCTTCCCGACTTGCCTTTGAGAGAATGTTCTGAATGGCCTAGAGGGGAAAGCTCAGGCCCTATCCATGCCTTGTTGCTTTCGAATTTCAAAATAATTTAAAAAAAATTAACTTAGGCAAGTCCTCAAAGCCTTAATGCAGGCCAGAAAAACTGTGTGCCAATTCATCCACATAGGATGCCCCCTGAGGCTGAGGTGAGCAGTACTCAATATAGCTTTATGGCAGCCAGCCTCTCTGAAGCTTTCCCACCTCCCTGCTCGGGTGGTTCCACCCAGTCCTTAACCTGATTAAGCTGTGGCTGTGGTCCTTGAACACCACCTACCGTATTTATCAGACCAGTGTAAAGAGCCCTGTCCAGGGGGTCAAAAGTAAGTTCTCAGCCTAATGCTGTTCCTATTTTGCTGTGACTTGAAGACAAGTCAGGTCTTTTCTCTGGGCCTACTTTGTCCTATGCACACCTCCAGGTGGCTCTGAAGTCCAGCTGCTTTCAGAGCACAAACTTTAAGAGTTGCGGGGAAAGAGGGTAAAGGGTGTCTCCTCTCCTACCAGGTAAGGCGATTGGACTGTAGACCCCTAAAGCCCTTCTCCATGCAGCCATTCAGTGATTCTGCTTCCTAGCATGTTTCTCCTCAATTTCTGAAGGTATTTTTTTTTTCCTTTACACCATTTCTCCTTTGCTATGACTACCTATGGAAAGCCTGTGAATTCGAGAACAGTTAAGCATTCCGCTTTGGTGTCCGGTGTCTGCATCTGGACACCAGAAAATCGTTTGTTTTTCTCCTTTTCTGAGGAGTGAAAATCATTCTTTGGCATGAAGTCCATCTTGGCCACTATGCTGCTATTCACCTGGGCTGCAGGGCATTGATCTGTCACCACCTGTTATCACCAACGTTTGAAGCTTTGATGAACTCCCCAGCTGTTTACTGAGGTAGGAAAAGAAGGAGAAGGGGGAGGGCAGAAGCCCATGGGCATGGAGCTTTCTGTGTACTTCGGAAGGAATTGCCTCCCCAAGGAGGAACTGCCTGTTACCACACAGATGCCTGAAGGAAGCTGATGTTTCCCAGAAAATAAGCCTCTGCAGGGCAAACTGGTTCCTCCTTTCTCTCCACCACAACTGTACATTTTTATTGGTCCAGAAATGCTTGGTCATAATCTAGGACTGGAGTGCTTTAATAACTTGTGAAGGTCAGCCCTTGCTGGTGGGGCTCAGTGGACTGAGCGCTGGCCCATGCAGCAAAAAGTTGCTGGTTCGATCCACAGTCAGGGCACATGCCTGTGTTGCAGTTTCATTCCTGGTTGGGGCACCTATGAAAAGCAGCCAATCCATGTTTCTCTCTCACATGGATGTTTCCCTCCCTCTCTTTCTCCCTCCCTTCCCTTCTCTCTAAATTCAGTAAGCATGTACTCAGGTGAGGGCTTTTTTATTTTTTTTAAACTGGGTATAAATTTGCTCCTTTAAAATTTTGAATCCTTCCACTAAAGAACAATTTCTCTCTCCATTTATTCAAGTCGCCTTTTATGTCATTTTAAAAATGTCTGTGGTTTCCTCATCTTTTTTTTACATTTTAAATGTTTATTTTTGGGTATCTTATATGTGTCATTCACCCAAATGTTTTACAACTGTTTATTGCAGGTCTACAGAGAAACTACTGATTTTTATGTTGATCTTGTACCAAATAATAAATTCCCCAAGAGTTCATTATGTTTCTGTTCCAATCACAGCTTTGCCTAGAGCAGTGCCCAAATATAAGAATATCCAAACCACTTTCTTATGTTTTATTCAATTGATTGTATGTCCTCCAGGTAGTTTATCCTACCATCTTTCAAATAATAAGCATCTTTTTAGTATATAAACCTTTTATTTCTTTTTCTTGTCTTTGTGCAATGACTACAACCTCCAGAACAATGTTGAACAATCGGGCAAGAGCAGGCATTCTTAGGGGGCTTTCATCGTTTGTACAATCTGGGGTTCTCCGTGGAGGAAAAGGTCGCAGCAAGATCCTCAGAACCATTATAGGTCATTGCTCAGGAATCTGAGCCCTTAGCTAGAGCAACTGCTTGGGGCAGCAGAGCCGCGCCTGCTTGGGGCGCCTCAAATCCGGGCCGCTGCCGGGTTTGGTGCTGGGCACCCACCCAAGAGGGGTTCCCGGATGGGGCGCGGGCTCCCTTTGCATGGAGGCCAGGAGGTACGGGCGCAGGACGCATCCCCTACCGCGCCTCCAGGCTGCCCCAGGTTTCACTCTCACGCCTGAGGATCCCCTGTCCCCCGCTCCCCACCCCGCCCCCGCGACTAGCGGGAGGGCGAAGTGCCGTGCTGGAATTCCGGGTGTGGCTGCTCTGTTGGCGCACAAAATGGACTTGTGGTTTGAGGGCTACTCAGCCGGCAGCGGCGGCGGCGGCGGCGGCGTGGATTAGCGTAAGGGGCGGATGGCTGGGGAAGGGTAGGCCGGGCAGCGAGGCTGAGGGCACGAACAGTACCTTCTCCTTCCCGACCCAGACACGCCCCGCAGGGAATCAGGAGGGCACAGACAATTGCTTCTCCCTCTGTTCCGGGAGAAGGGTCTCTATGGTTTCACTGGGAGGAAAGTCGAATGAAGGGCTGGTGTGATGCTGAACTGGTGACCCGAGTTTTCAGGTGTGCTCAACAGCATCCTCACCTGTGGCCACAGGCCTGGCCTCACTGCGCATCCCTGCAATGCAGTCGCGGGCGGGGAAGGGAGAAGGGGGAGCAGGCCTTGAGCACCTAGTCTGGATTATGACTGCCTTTCAGTCTCCTCATCCTGGGTCTCTCAGCAAACTTGCACTGCCTTCCCATTTCTCCTTTTTGAAACAGTCCTTGGGATTTCACAACAGCCTATACACCTGATTTTCTTTCTACCCCTTGGACTCATCTCTCCTAAGCTCCTTGAGGGAGTCCTCTTCCTTCTCCACAGTCTGCAAGTGTTGCGTTTCTTGAGGCCCCAGACTTCTCTCTCTACCCTCCTCCTGAGATACCGTTGGCTGTGTGTATATGCTCCAGCTTCACATCCCTGGATTCAATCAACCAGGGATCAAAAATATTGGCGGGCGGGGGGGGGGGGGGCAGATTCCAGAAAATTCCACACTGAATCCCCGTGAATGAAGTGATGATATATGTAGGTGAACCCTGCTGTAGCCTATATGCCAATATATGTGATATGCAGTACACTAGCATTTTATAAGGGACTTGAACATCCTGGTATTTTGTATCCACAGGAATTGGGAGGGGGGGGCACGGAACCAACCCCCTTGTGTATAATGAAGGACAACTGTACAATTAACATACCATAAAATTCCCCCTTTTAAAATGTACAATGCAGTGGCTTTTAGTATATTCACAAAGTTGTGCAACCATTATCACTGATTCCTGAACAGTTTTATAACCCCAAAAGAAACCCTATGTCCATCCGCCACATCCCCATGATCCCCTCCCTTCACCCCCTGGCAGCTACTAATCTACCTCTGTCTCTATGGATTTGCCAAGTCTGGATGTTTTATGTACCTGAAATCATAAAATATGTGGTCTTTTGTGACTAGCTTCTTTCACTTAATGTAATGTTTTTAAGGTTCATTCATGTTGTAGCAGGTATCAAGTACTTCATTCTTTTTAATGGCTGAATAATATTCCACTGTGTGGACATACCACATTTTGTTTATCTATTCATTGGTCGATGGATATTGGGGTTTACGTATTTGGGCTATAATTACTAATAATTATAATGCTGTGAGCATTCTTGTACAAAATTTTATGTGGACATGTATTCAGTTCTCTTGAGTATAAACTTAGGAGGGGAATTTCAGGGTCATACAGTAACTGTGTGTTTAACCATTTGAGGAACCACCAAATTGTCCTCCGAAGCACTTGCACCAGCAATGTATGAGGGTTCCAACTTCTCCACATACTCACCAACAACTGATATTGATCATAGTCTCCTAGTGGGTATGAAGTAGTATCTCATTGTGGTTTTGATTTGCATCTCCCCAATGATTAATAATGTTGAGCAGCTTTTCATGTGCTTATTGGCCTTTGATATCTTCTTTAGAAAAATGTTTATTCAAACACTTTCCCATTTTAGTTGGATTATTTGTCTTTTTATTGTTCAGTTTTAAGAGTTTCAAAAAAACTTCAAAACTTTTCAAAAAGAGTTTTAAATTGTGGTTAAGAAAAATGCGTAATATAAAAACTACTATCTTAACCATTTCTGTGTTCATTGGTACAGTTCAGAAGTGTCAAGTATATTTATATTGTTGTGTAATCCATTTCCAGAACTGTTTCATCTTGTAAAGCTGAAACTCTACACCCTTAAAATAATTCTTTGTGTTCCCCTCCCCCAGCCCCTAGCAACCACCATTCTACTTCCTGCTTCTATGAAGTTGACTACTCTAGATACTTCATATAAGTGGGATCATACAGTGTTTGTCTTTTTGTGACTTGCTTATTTCACTTAGAATAATATCTTCAGGGTTGTAAGAACTCTTTGTATATTCTGGATACCAGTCTCTTACCAGATATTTGATTTGCAATTATTTTCTCTCATCTGTGCATTTTCTTTTCACTTTCTTTTTTTCTTTTCTTTTCTTTTCTTTTCTTTTTTTTTTTTTTTTTTTTGGTGGATGCCAGAGATTTTTATTTTATTTTTAAATTTTTCTTTCTGGAGGTGAGAGTGGGTGGGGCAGGGGAAAGTGGTGGTGGGAAAATGGAGACAAGTGTCTTTGAATAATAAAAAAATTTCTTTCATGTCAGCAGTGAACATTGCCTTAAAAGAATTGCTGTAAGCAGCTAAAACAGCTCGGTGACAGTGGGAGATTATGCCTGAAGAACTCTGAAGGGTAATATCAGTAAATAATCCATCCAAGTAAAATGTTTTAAATGCATCCAGAAAATTCACTGGATGCGCTGAATCCTTGAAAAGGTAAATATAATCATCTTGTCCTTTTAGAGCCCTGGCTCCCGTGGCAGCTCCAGGACGCGATGCTGGCCCAGTTAGCGCCGAGCCTCTTTTCACTTTCTTCATGACAGCAGCAGCAGCACAAAAGCTTCTAAATGTAATGAAGTTCAGTTTATCTACTTTTTCTTCTGTTTCTTTTGTGGTTTTTATGTCATGTCTTAAGAGACCATTGTCTAATCAAAGGTCACAGAGATTTACATCTATGTTTCCTTCTAAGAGCGTAATAGTTTTAGCTCTGACATTTTTTAGCTAATGTTTGTGTATGGTGTGAGAAAGGGGTCCCACTTAATTATTTTGCCTGTGCATATCCAGTTGTTCCAGCACATTTGCTGAAAAACACTATTTTTCCCTCTTCGAATTGGCCTTGACATCCTTGTTGATAGCTTCTCTTCTTTTATGTACCCACTCTCCCTGGGGTATCTTCCTAGCTTCTGTATCTCCATGGGCCAAATAACTCAGAAAGTTATCCCTCCAGCCTCATCCTTTCTTCTGAGATTTTTATCCCTGTATAGTCTGACACCTCCCCTTAAATGTTTCTCACACATGTTCAAGACTGAACTCACGACTGTTGCCTTCAAAGATGTTCTTTTTCTTTTTCCAATACATTTTTCTCTGTTTTGTCTCAGTGAAACAGAATGGTACCATACCTGATTAAACAAAAAATCAACAGTCATCAAAAAATATCAAAAAGTTTGATATTTTTTCCTTATGCCCCATATCTAATTGATCACCAAATCAGGTTGGTCCCATTTGGAAACATACATCCTGAATCCATCTCTGGCCCTCCATCATCACTGCCATCGCGTCTGAGACATTATTTCTCTGTGGAAATATAGTCTCCTAACTGATCTGTCTTCTGGAAAATTTTAAACATATAGAAGAGGAGACTATAGTTGGGTGGACCCCACATGTGTCCATCACCCAGGTACAGTAACCACAAACATAAAGTTGTTCCTATTCCATCAACATTTGCCCTCTGCTCCCCCTGCTCCACCTCCTTTGGTTGACTTTGAAGCACATCTATGTATCAGAGTCATCTCTCTTTTTTTTTATTTTAATTTATTCTATTTTTTATTATTAAAATACACTTAAAATACAATATTATATTAGTTTCAGGTGTATAACATAGTTGTTCAACACTTACATACCTAACAAAGTGATCATCACAACAAGCCTAGTAGCCATCTGACATCATACAAGGTTATTACAATATTATTGATTATATTCTCTATTCTGTACAGTATATCCCTGTGACTTATTTATATTATGACTGGATATTTGTACCTCTTAATACCCCTTCACCTTCCCCACTCACCCTTTTCCCCTCTGGCAACCATGGGTTTTTTTAATCTGCATCCAGAAGTCTGTTTCTGTTTTGTTTGTTCACTTGTTTAGTTTTTTAGATTCCACATGTAAGTGAAATCATACAGTATTTGTCCTTCTTTGTATGACTCACTTCACTTAACATAATACCTTCTAAAGGCCCATCCAGTTTGTAAAAAATGCAAGATTTTATTCTTTTTATGGCTGAGTAATATTCTATTGTGTATATATACCTCATCTAATTTACCCATTCATCTATCGCTAAACATTTAGGCTACTTCCAAATCTTAGTTATTGTAAACAATGCTGCAATGAACATATGGGTGCATATACCCTTTGGAATTAATATTTCTTTTCTTCAGGTAGATAGCCAGAAATGGAAATTCTGGGTCATATTCTAATTCTATTCTTAATTTTTTGAAGAACCTCCATACTGCTTTCCATAATGGCTGCCCCAATTTGCAATCTCACCAAAAGTGTATGAAAGGTGTTTCAATGAAATTTTTACATACAAAAAAGATAAAATATCTAAGATAAAAAATACATTGCAAAAGATTAAGAACAGGAAAATATGGAACGCCTCACGAATCCGCACGTCATCCTTGCACCAGTGCCGTGCTGATTGTCTCTGTGTCGTTCCCATTTCAGGGTGTGTGCTGCCGAAGCGAGCCCTCAGAGTCGTCCCTTTAACATACAAAGTTAATAGTGTACTTCCTTGTTTAAGTCCCTTCATTGGTTCCCCATTACTTTTAAGCGAATGATGAAAACCCTTACTGGTGCCCACGGGGCCCTGCATGATTTAACCCTGCCAACCTCTCCAGCCTCATTGCTCACCACTTCACTATTCATTTCTACCCTCCAGACACAAAGGCTCTGTGTTCCTCATAAATGCCGCACGCCTCTAGCCACAGGACCTTCGCACATCACAGCCTCTCTACCACGGCCCCTCTCCAACACCCTCCAACCACCCCCAAACCCCATCTGATTAGCATCCATTGGCTATCAGCTCAGATGCTGCTGCAGCTTCATGATGTCTTCCCAGCTCTTCACGGCTGACTTAGGACTCCCTGTTGGAGGTCCTCCTAGGACACTGTGATTTTCCTTCATAGAATGTACTTCATAGCTATAATTATGTATTGATTTATATAAATATTTGTTTCATGTCTGCCTCTCCCACCGGGCATTTTGGGGATAGTAGCTTGCTTTATCCCTCTTAGTGTACACAACGCTTACACAGAGCTGAGCGAATAGCAGGCCTTCAGGGGGTGTCTGTTGAAGGATGGCGGAGAGGCTGGCAGCCCTGGAGGACTGTGCTCCTGCCAGCCTCTTGCGGGACAGGGCTTCTTCTGACCACAAAGGGCCAGTGGCCATCCGCAGTGCACCCAGTGCCGGGCTCTGGTTTGTTTTTCCCTTGGACCTTTACTTTCCCTCCTGGGCTGAGAGTGTCTTGCCTTGTTGCAGAGGAGTAACTGTGGCCCTGAAAGAGAGAGAAGCTTCCCCAAGGCCTCTCAGTAGTGGGAGGTCCTTCCAGGCCCACCTCCCGTCTTCCTGCCCCCACACTCAGACTCTTCAGGACCCCGAGTGAGACCCCTCCCATCTGCCTGAGCCCTGTGAAGAGCCTGGTGGGTCCACAAGGTCAGAATGAAGGCGGCGTGGGGTGTGCTGGATGGTATCCATGAATGGACAGAGCAGACTTGTCCCAAGAGTAGCGCTACCGCCTGGCAGCCTTGCGTGGGGGGTTCTGAGCGGCGGAGACTGTCTGTGAGCCCTCCCCTCCGCAGGCCCGGCAGAGGGTGGCCACCGGAGCACAGGGGCGCTCTGTTTCTTAATGAATGCAAGTCTGTTTTTAGACCTGAATGACCAACTTCTTCTCTGAAAATGGCCAGGCCCCAAGTGGCCTGCCAAGAAAAAGTGGTCTGTGACCAGGTCCAGGGGTGCCAGCCCAAAGAGATGCTGCTTCAGGACCAGGCAGATCTCCTCTGTAGAACCAGCTGCCTGCTCCGTGGTGTGGCCTGGGCTTCCTAGGAAATCCTGGATATTCCCATAAGCAAAGCTCCTGGGTTTCAGCGTTTCAGCTGTTTATCCTACCTGTCTCCCTGGGAGCAGCCTTCACTATACAGGCCAGGACAGGGGGCAGCAATTGCAGGCCTTAAAATTCTGGTGGAGGGAGAAGAGAGGGCGGCATCCTGTGTAGGGCCAGGCCGACCTGTGGGAGCGCCTCTGGGGCAGAAGGCGGTCACTGGGTGCGGCCCAGGTGTAGAGAAGGCCCTGCTCCCAGCTGCTCCCTCTGGCTGTAGTCCTAGGCAAAAGATGCGGTCTGTGGGAAGTCTGTGGGTGCTGCTTGGGGCCTAGTGGTGCCTCCATCTCTACTTTCCATGGGGGGCGGCAACTCTAGGCACTCTCCAAGGGGCTCGATGGACTCAGGGCCAACTCAGCTCTCAGTGGTGCTGGCAGGGGGTGTGAGGCTCAATGAGGAAGGCTGTGAAAACTGGCCTCTTCCCTGGAACTGGGCCATGACCTCTCAGATCTTCACTGCAGCCCTGAAGATCTGCAGATCAAGGAGGAGCAAACTCAGAGGGAGGAGACTGGGGGCCACCCAGGGGGTCAGGGGAAACCAGAAGCAAACTTGAGTGCGTTGCTCTTACTCCAAGTTTTATGTTTGTGGCCTGAAGCCCTATTGCCACTGAACGAGCACAGAGGGACTTTTCATCAGGAAGCATTTGTTTACTCAATAAACAGTTATTGAGCACTTACTGTTTGCCTGAAGCCATGTGAGGTCTTGGGGCAAGAGATGAATACACAGTTTAGTGGGGAGACAGCCACGTAAACAAGCAATGCAGCAAAGGAAGATAGCTGAGTGGACTGGGTATGGACACAGGCAGGAAGGGGTCTACTCTCTCTGCAGGTACAAGCTGGCTGGGCTTCAGAGAGGAGAGGTACTGGAGGATGAGAACAGATGAGATCAAGAGGGACCCCATCTTGGGCAGGATCAGGTTAGCGAAGCAGGGCCCAGGTAGAGCTGGGAGGGACGTCACATTAGCACACCTCCAAAGTTCAGGAGACGTGCCAGCCTGAGCATTTGTTCCTGAATTTCATCTTCATGAGGAGCTAGGCCTTTCTGGTGTGCTGAGGGAGCCCAGGCCTGGGTGGGAGGTCAGAGACCAGGGGAAAAGGGAATCAGAGTCCTTTAACCAGGGCTGGTCCAGTCAGCCAAGCATCTAAGGGCAACCTGGGCAGCGGGCAGTATCTTGGCTGCTGAGAGTAGGCAATGGAGCCAGCCTTGATTGCGGCCCTCCAAGCTCCCACTGGATGGAGAACCCAGGGTTTCTGAGATCCCTGTAGGTAGAAAGAGTTCTTGTTAGCACTGGAGCTCAAAGGGTCCTTGTTCCAGATGGATACAGCCACCCCCAGAGGTCTGGGCCAGCCCACATCTCCTGAGCAACTAACCCAGTTTTTTTTGTTCTCTGAGTAGAGGAGATAAAGGCTAGAGGGAAGGGGTCTGATCTAAAGGATCCCGCTCCTCAGAGGACCCCTGCATAGTCATCTCAGCCCAAGAGACCCCCTTTCTTTGTCCCCCCAGTCCTCCTGCACTGGTGCTTTTGGGGAGAACTGTGGCCTGGCCTAGCAGCCGGAAACCTACAGGAGACAGCAGAAGGCTGAGGCCCGTGAGCGGCCCTGGCCCTCTGCCACATTAGAAAGGGTGCACACTTTTGGTGAGACTGTAGTTTCAATTCAAGCTCCACTACTTTCCAGTTATGTAGTCAGGAGCAAGAGGCTTTGCCTCTCTGGACCTCAGTTTCCTCATTTGTACAATGAGGATGGTGCCATCTCCCTTGCAACACTAGAGCTGAACTGAGGATGAGAGGAGACCAAGAACCAGACCTGGTCACCATCCTTCTTCCCAGGAGCCCCCTCGGCTAATAGTGTTTGACTTCCTCTGAGCATTCGGAGAGTTCTCTCCTTTCCTGGCCCTGACATCTTGAGGGGCACACGGTGCGTCCCAGGCTTGGATGTCAGACACACCTCCATGGAGTCCCAGCTCTGCCAAGGCCTTATGTGGGTAGCCACCAAACCCAGCTAAGCCTCTGTTCTCCACCTGGGAAATGTAAGTATTATCCCCTGCCTAAATGGCGTTGCATGTGTGCCCTGGTGTGTGGTCTTTCGGCAAAGCAAGTGTGGGGGTTTCTTGTCTGGCTGAGAGTGCTGGGGCACTGAAGCAGAGTTCAAAGTTAATGGGCAGCCATAGGGAGCGGGCTGTCTTTGCCATCCCCAGATCGGCGGCGGCAGAGCGGGGGTTCTTGGCCCAGGGCCCCTGCTCCTCTCTGCACCCACTTTGTTCACTCTAGACTCAGCCTCAGGAGCACCCAGAGGTTCTGCTCCAGGGTTGCCTGTTCACTCCCTCTGGCTACACACCTCCACAACTCGTATTTCCTAGTTAGGACTAAGGAAGGTAATCTGATGGGCCTGCTCATCCTGTCCCTCTAAAGAAGCTTCTGGTCAGCTTGCACGGGCTGTGCTTGGTTGGGTCTGGAGCACACTTTTAGCTCTGTTGGCTGTGGCCACGGACCCTCAGGACGAACTGCAATGTTGGGAAGCAGAGCCTCTGGCACTCCACATCTCCCTCATTTCAAAGATGCCACAGGTAGTAAAGAGAAACCAAGTACCTTCCTGGCCCAGGTGTTCTCAGACTGGCTCCTACGAAGCATGTCTGTGCCTATGCTGGGCGCCTCCCACCCCTGAGTCCTTTGCCAGGATTGCTGAGCAGGACAGCTGGATCGGGGTCCAGCTTGTGGTCCCCAGCTTCCTGAGCCCCACCGCTTACCCTCAGTATCGGACTCAGTTATGGGATTCCTCCCCTTTTCTACTCACCAGGAAGGGTAAAGCAGTTAGTTGTCCTAGAGATGAAATATAAGCTTAGAAAATAAAAAGTGAGGTGCAGCTTCTGGGCAAATGTGTGAGTGCAGCTCCTGTGTTATATTAGAATTATTTTTTGCAAAAGGAGGAGATTACCTTTTAACGTCATGTTTCAGTGAACTAACAATGAGCCTGGCTCTCTCCACAGTTCCAGTTTCCCTCTGGGAGAGGTCTGGGCTGCGTGCCAAGACTGTGGCCCTTCAGGAAGAGCACAGCACGGCTTGGAGCTGGCCTTGGCCACGCGGGGAAGCTGCTGGTCTTCTTGCTTGTTTCTCGGCACAACTTAGTAAATGTGCTCTGTGACCTTAATGAATGGAGGAAATCTCTCTTAACAATGAGATTCCCTGTCTTGCTAAGGATGTTTCTGGAACTCCAGAGGGGCATGGTGAAGGCACAGGAAGGTCAGGGCCCTGGGTCCAGAGACCATGCAGAAGGATTCACCCTGGAGATCAGAAACCACAAAGAAAGCAGGAGTGAGACAGGGTTCATCCAGTGGTTTCATAACAGTGGCTCTGGGTTGACCATCACCTGAGAGCCTCTTGAGGTTAAACATATGCCTAGTTTATGATTGAGCAATTCTAATCCCAAGTGTTTACCCATAGAAATGAATGCTTGTGTCCATAAGACAGGTACTGGAATATTCATAGCAGCACTTATGGAACAGGAAAAAACTAAACTACCCAGAGGCCTATCAATAGTAAAATGAATAAATCAACTGTAGTAGATCCATAGAATAGAATTCTAAACACTAGTGAAAA